CCCCAAAACCCCAAAACCCCAAAACCCCATGGACTCAAATTTGATTAAGGAAAGAAATAAAAGTGAAATTCAAACGATACTGATATTATTTTATGATGATATATTGTGTACATTGTTATTCGTTATATTCACAACTTTAGGCATTTCTATGGCGATACTTTTTTTGTAACGCTTTAAAGGACTGTGAGCTAGTACTGATTCTTTAAAAAGCATATCTACATTAGAATTATTCAGACTTTGCTTAAGATTATTGGCCTAACTTTTAAAGTTATCATGATAGTTAATAGATTCATTTAGCATCAAATGATAGGGGTCAATTTTGTTAGCTTTAATCTCTAACTTTTTTGTTAAGTAATCATTTCCAAGTACTCTGGTAAATTCATTGCTCTTATTAAATTCAAGTCTTTTCTTTAGTCTCAACCGAAATTACTCTTGCATTTCCTTGCTTTGAATATTATCAGGGGAGAATGATCCAATTATCATATCTTTCTCATGATGAATCACATCATTTTCCTTGTATCCCATATTAATTGAAGAATTTGATTAGTCTCTTTTGTTTCCTTGGCTCATATAGTTGTTTATGTTCTAAGTCTTTACTTAATTTATCAATGAATCTAGCTTGTTTCTTTCAGATGATAAAGCATCTTTCCGACTTTTTAGCTTAATTATGAAGTTTTCATGCTATCCTTTGCCTGTATAAATTCTAGTTGGCTAAAGTGGATCATTTTGGTTATTTTTAAACTATTGAATAACAGGCTGGCTTTATTTACCGATTCTATATATGGAATTATTATCTTTTTTACTACTTCTCAAACTGAAAATAGGATGAATCTTGAAATTGTCTTTTAGACTTTTATCTTTCCGAAGATCTTTGATTCCTAATAGATGTTTTGTGTTCTTTTGATCAAGCCACTAACTTTTGCTATTTCTATGTAGACTTGCCTTTGTCTTCTCAGTAATCTTATTTAGATTTTTTATAACAGAAAGACATGTTGTTTTCAATACATCATTAATGATAGGATTTCCATCAACTCCGTACCCGCTGTTTATAATTTGGGATGAGCTAGCATTAACATGAGAACTTAATCTCTAAAACAAAGCAAAGTCTTGTCTGTTTAATTTCTAACTATCTCTAATAGACTTATATCCTTGATTTTATTTAGTTTAAAGAATGGCAGGGGATCTTTCTCGTTTAGCAAGGCTAGTATGATTACTCTTGATTCTTACATTTCTAAAATCTCTATCTAGTAGAGATTGCATCGTAAAAGAAGATCCTTCTAGCTGTTAGGTATTAGATATCAATACATCTGGGATCAAATCTAAATTTGAATAATTTATTGTATTCCTAACATTGATTCTTGCAGATCATTGTGATATTATTTTGGTAAAAGTTGGAAGGTTTCCAAAAGCATTATATGTTGGATATTACCTACCTGTTTGATCGTAAGGGCTTCCAAGATTATAACTAGTTTTAGATTAATTTTATTTTTTGTATGTTTTTGGTGGACTCATATCAAAAGAATAGAGCATCTAGGGACTGCAAATATCAGTGTAATCCTCCATTAGAAATAAGTTAATTATATTACTACTTAAATCAAACTAAACTTTTTTAATATTTAGATTTAATATTAATAATCGGGGTTTTGGGGTTTTGGGGTTTTGGGG